ATTTACAAAACATATTCGTAAATTTACGAGAATATTTCTGCAGTGCTCTCTGTGGTTAAACTTCACAACTGTTGCGTTACGCACAAATACGTCGACTAGATGCATGTGGTCACACTGCGGTCGCTGTATTTTTGTCCCTCCGTTCTTTTCCCCGTGTACCTCTTTCCATCCTCGGCCTCCTCGCGTCGCACTCCCCCGTCTGAAGCAGCGCGGAGCCGAGCGGGAGGCGTACTCGTTATTTACGCTGACACAATAGGGCCTGATTGCCGGTGCAGGGCTGCGCGGGCTGCGCCTGGCGAGGCTGTGCCTGGCGAGGCTGTGCCTGGGGGGCGGCGCCGGGGGCGGCGCGGGAGTGGAAGTGAGAGAGAGGCAACTTGGACGGGGGGGAAGGGTTTCTGCGCGACTCTCCATACCCCGGCAGCACTCTCCGCCATATAGCTGATAACTGCCGAGCGTTGTACGGCGATGCATGCACGCAGCTGCGGCGGTTGCACTCGCACACACTTTTTACAGCAGGGGCCACATATGCCAGCGGGGAAATAAAAAGCCGCAGTGGAAAAAGTGAGGGAGGTAAATTTTGCAGTTTAGATGTTTACGCGGAGTTGCACGAGGAGTTTTGCACGATTGCGCGAGATCTTCTTGGAAAGGGAGGAGGGGGGGGGGGGTTACATATTCCTCGCGAAGTTATGAAAGGGTTGTGTGCCCGCGCTTTCCCCTCGCTTTGTGACATCCGTTGCGAAATTTAACGACGACTTGTGTCGCATTACACCCTGTTCCGCCGGCCGTGTCCCCATGCAGCTGCATGCAGCACTCGGCCCCCTGTGCTCACTTCCGTCGTAACGCGCCGTAAGCCGTAACAGTGCCGCAATTCCACGGTAAAAAGAAAGTTCCTTGAATTTCAAGACCACGGTCTTGGATAGGCGTTCTCCACAACATCCAAGACCGGGACCGGGTCTTGAAGTTAAGGAACTTTTCTTAACCGTGTCCTCCGCCGGTCTAGCCATGTCCGCCACGGGGGTATATGCCAGCCAGCCGGCCGCACAAGGAGTCGTCGTACACAAACAGGGGAGGCCTTGCCATGCTATGATTACAGGGTTGAAGTTGATCGTCGTCGCCTCTAAAATTTTTAGTGAGAAGAGGGGAGGGCAGGTGCCGTGAAAAAATAATTATTAAAAAGGCCAACTATTGCCAACAAGGAAACGAACCCTATTTAAGAAGTGAGTCACCTAAGAAAAGTTGCATGAGGGCTGTGCAACTTTCATTTGCACCAATGCAATTTGCATCGAGACAAGAATGTTCTTACTCGTCCCCGAGCTCGTCCCTTGCTCTTGCTGCTTTGCATCTTCGGGGTTGGAAAAACCAGCAGAGCACCACAGCAGGCCACTATGTGATCACGCCCCAAGGAACGTTGTTAAATAAGAACGCCCTTTTTGGGGGTGCAGTTTGTGTGCCGCGGCGCCGCACTAGACCCTTTCCTAAGCTCGCCCGCTAACGCTGCGCGCGACCCCCTGCTGGAGATGACGTTTAGCGACGCGCGCGGGCCGGCGGCGGCGGTGGCCCGGGGGCCGCGCGCGTCGTGTGCATTTTTCATGGCGTCGTCAGTCAGTGTCGCCGTCAGGCCGCGACTGGCGCGACACCCACGTGACACGGGGGTGGTCGGGGCCATTAGAATTAGCGAGGGGTGAAGTAACCGGGGGAGCCCTTCCTCCTCCTCCTCCCCGCGATTGTCACCCTCGAGAGGCCTGCCTGCAGGCTGTCTGAGGTCACGCCGGAGGGTCTCCAGGGGGGCTTATACCCTCGCCCCCTGCTGCTCCTCTTGTCCCATCTCTCTCTCTCGCTTCTTACCCCTCGTTCCACTCCCCATCCCCCACTCCCCCCATCTCACTTTTCCTCACCACCGCCCCACCACACTCGTCTCCTTCACCCCCTTAGCGCGCCCCCATAATAATAGCTCTTGACCCAAAACCGCGCGCGGCGCATTCGCTCGGGGAGGGTGTGAGAAGTGTCAGGGCGGGGCGGGGCGGGGCGGGGCGCGGGGCGTGCCGCTGCACTGGGTGGGAGTTTTGTAACGCGCATCGCCGCGCTACTCATTCAGATCCAGACGCCAGCTGAATCCACCATCATGCCTCCGTCTCGCGCGGGGATGATGGTCTTTTGGGAGGCATTCCGGGCGGGCGAACAGACACCACCGACAGTCAGACAGACAGACCGACCGACCGACCGACCGACAGAGCGAAAGTCCGACAGCAGGCCGACGGACCGACAGACCGACCGACAGACCGACAGACCGACAGACCGACGGACCGACGGATCGACCGACCGACAGACGGACAGACCGACAGGCAGACAGGCAGACAGGCAGGCAGGCAGGCAGGCAGGCAGGCAGGCAGGCAGGCAGGCAGGCAGGCAGGCAGGACGCGAAAAGAAGAGAGCCCTTCCGATCTAGAGTCTTGGCTGCGCTGCGAGGAGATCCGGACGGGAAATCCTCGCCTGAATGGGGGAGAGATCCCTGCTGCTGCTGCTGCTGCTGCTGCCAAGGTCAGGGCGTCACCTCAATGCGCCCACTCCCCCTGTCCTTTCCCCTCCCCTGCAATGCAGTACAGCGGCAGTCGTATTGTGACTATGACAGTGGATCCCGCCCTGCCTGCCCCGCCTGCCTCGCGGATTGGAACTAGAGCTCGGGTGCGAGAGGGCCGAGCTGCTGGCTGATTGCACGTTCGGGATGCTGGCCGCGGGACTCGGGAGCCCAGCCGAGAGAGAGCCGCTCCCTGGAGCCGCTTTGGAGCCGCTTTGGAGCCACTGTGGGGGTGGAGCCGCTCCTGCGCGCAGCCGCGATACCCTGTGTTACTTCCCTCCGATTGACCTGCAGGCAGGCAGGACCCGTGCGGGTCGGGCTGCCTGCGGGGGCTGCTCGTGGCTGGCTGCGCACAGTTCAACAGCCACTTGTTGTCTGGGGGAATACGGACTGCGCGTGTTTCGCCCCGCTGGGCTGCCGTAGCCTGGAGTTGTACGTGGCGGGGCTGGGTGGGGCGGGGCGTGGCCGCTGCGAGGTCACTCGGACCAAAACCCCCACCACGCAATGACATGGAGCTGAGTGCAAGTGCACGCGCGCGTTTGAATCGCACGGATCGCGCTTCGAGAGCTCCGCGCTACTCTATTGCCGAGTCGAGTGCTTAGAGGCCACGTCGATAGAGGGGGCGAAGTGGAGGAAGCAGTAGCAGTAGCAGCAGCAGCAGCAGCAGCAGCAGCAGCAGCAGCAGCAGGGTCTCCCAGGGGGGTCACCGGTGGGAGGAGATGAAGGCGAGGGGGGCGGGTGGGGAAGAGGGAGGGGTGGCGGTCTGACAAAAAGACAGACCTCCGGGGAATACTGTCTGGTCCGTGGCGGGAAACTACGCGGTCGTGAGAGACAGACGGGCGGACAGGTGTGTGTGGTGGTTCTGACCCGCTCTCCTCCCCCTTCGCTTCGTTGCAGACCAGGACGGCGCGGAGCCGAGCGGCAACACGGTGTCCGCGTGGAACCTGCTGCGCCTGGCCGCGCTGCTGGAGCAGCCCGCGCTGCATGAGCGCGCCGAGCGCCTGCTCGCCATCTTCACCTCGAGGCTCACCAGCCTGCCGCACGCGCTCCCGGGACTCACCGCCGCCCTCATGATGCACCACGACTCGCACACGCAGGTGAGTAGTCGACCGACCAACACAACTGCAAGATGCAGCTGGAGGGCAAACATTGTACGATCCGCTTCACGTTTGACTCAAGTTCGAATCGTAGCTCTACGCATTTCTTCGGCGTGGGCTCGTCCGCCTGGATCTGCTTCAATCTATGTTTGGTTTCTGCCCCCTTGAGGCTATGCTATTGAACAATAAGAGATCTCTCGAACTAAAAACGGAGTTTCATCCCTAACTTTTCTTAAAAGCTATGGTTGCTTCTTAAAGTGAAATGCCAATTTAGGCGTCGTAGCGTTTTGTTCTCGATTCCTTGAGCCCATGGTTAACGATCGAGATTTTCTCAGTCATTATTACGTATTAATTAAACTACTGAGAAGATGACTTGCCTTCATTTTCACTTTCTTCATCTTTATGACTACAGTAGTAAGTAAAAAGTAAAAATAAATAATTTGTAAAACTTTTTCTTTTACTTCGTAAAACTAATAAAATTTTAAGAGAGCACCAATGGAATGATGGTTTGGTGGTGAATACTTGTGCAGGTGTTCGTGACGGGCAAGCTGTCGGACCCGGACACGGCGGCGCTAGTGGCCGAGGCCCGCAGGCGGCTTCTGCCCGGACGCGTCATGGCCCTCGCCGACGGCAACCGGGAGTCCATCCTGTACCGCAAGTCGGAGGTGTTCCAGCGTCTGCGGCCCCAGGGCGGGCGCGCCGCGGCCTACGTGTGTCGCCATCACGCGTGCTCGCTGCCCGTGACCAGCGCCGAGGACCTCGACAAGCTGCTGGCCCCAGGGCCCCGCTAGACACATATGACCTGTCCAATAACAAATACATGTTCGTATTTTTGTGTTTTTATATAAAGACAAACATTGTTAGTTGACGAATAGGTCGTTTTTTGTGTTTTGTTTAGTTGTTGTGCGCTTGCATTTTAACTGGTGTAAGTATCTCATTTTCTCCCCGGTGCGATTTCGATTGCTTTAGAACGCCGAGCGATGTATTTTTGTTCGTATACGATGACTGCAAGGATACTCATTATTGGATGTTTAGGAAAATGGCTGTGCTCATGTGTAACGTTTTGTCTTTGTGAAATGACTGTTGATATTTATCGTGTATCGTGTTTCATTTTTTATGCATTGCGATTAAATTGTCCATCATATTGCAGTGTGCTTGTTATTTAGTTTATATCCACTCATGCGACCAACAAAAAGCTCTCTAAATGGAATGCACAGTATGAAGAGCCTGCTGTTGTTACGATGGTTTTGTGATAGTAAGGTAGCATAATCATATTATAAACCTCTTTTGTTCATTGAAATTTACTTCATGTCATAAATGTGAGAAGCCAAATAAAGTAAAGGCCTGCCAAGTCGAAATGCCAAACAATACCTCCCGTGCATCCCGTGTCTTCCCCCAAGTTGCCCTTTCCACCAACAATTGGAAATTTTAGATTTTACCGAAGATATTTGTCATATTTTAAATGCGGCGTATCAGTCTCTAACATTTGCTCAGAAACAAATTAAGCACGAAATCCATTATTTGTTTTCCTACTGCTCCTGTTTCCCCTTCGTCGACCCCATCCTCCCCACACCCTGTTTTGACTAGGACCTCTTGCACATGTGTTAGGGGGTAGATCCCCCAGCCGCTGTCACACCCCTGTACATGTAGCAGCTAATTACAAGACGTTCCAAAGGCAGCAGCTGTTGTACGCCTGATGCGTCATGACAGTGTGCGAAAGGGCGGGGGAGGGGGTAAGCGGGTTACACGGTTTACAACTTGTGGTGATGTAGTGAGTGAACTGAACCGGAAACCTCTTGGGTTGTTTTTTCGTCGCCCCGCGGAACTCGCCAGTAGAAGAAGATAAGAAAGCTTCTTCCGCACTACAAACGCATATTACCCGCCACATCGCGCGCGGCGCTCCCCTGGACCTGGGAAACATTTGGAAGGCAAGCGGAACTGTCGGTCTATAAACTAGGGGCCCGTGCGTAGTCAATGTGCACGGGGTAGCTGAGCGAAGTGGGTTTAAGTTTGCCATTGTCTCAGTTGGTTTTTTATTTTACGTTTTTCTGATTTTTTTAAATGATCCTTTTTTGGGTGG